AATACTTGGGCAGTTGTCAGCAGACGACAGGCACAACTATAGAGCACTCGTAGCTGCTCTAGAACTCAGGTATGGAATCCAAAATCAGTCAGAAGTCTACATGACTATGTTTAGAACTAGAGTCCGTGCTAAAGGGGAGAGCCTGCAAGAGCTGGCACAGGATTTGGAAAGTATGGCACAGAAGGCCGACCCAACTGCACCACCCGATGTCCTCAAGTTGTTGCTGAGGGATCAGTTTGTAGACTCCTTGGACAGTCCACAACTGAAGATACAAGTGAAGCAAGTACACCCCTCTATTATGCAGGATGCAATGGCCAGAGCTTTTGAATTCGAATCATACGTTAAGTCCAGCATAGAGGTACCAAGGTTGGTACGGTCATCTGGATTCAAGGACAGAAAAGACGTTTGAGGGACTTTGCTGGTACTGTAACAAACCTGGGCACAAGTGAGCTCAATGCCGCCAACTTCAACACAGGGAAGATGCCACGGCAGGATAGGCTGCTACTCAGAAAGGTTGTTGGAACTGAGGAGAGCAAGGACATATGAGGAGCCAGCGTAAGAAGAATACTACAAATACGTCAGCTTCGGAAAATCAGTAGTGGTTGGTGCTGAGGGAAGGTCATTGATAGCCTAATTAAAGAAGGGATGGTCGAGAAATCAGATAGTCCCTGGTCAGCTCCCGTCGTGTTAGTCCAGAAAAAGGATGGGACCCAACGTTGCTGTGTGGACTTCAGAGCTCTTAACAGTATAACTGAAAAGGACTCATATCCACTGCCAAGAATTGGTGATACTCTTGATGCCCTAAGTGGAACCAGGTGGTTTTTAACTCTGGACTTAAAGGTGGTTTCCATCAAGTGAAATTGGCTGAAGAAGATGAACCCAAGACTGCATTTAGTTATGGGCAAGGTCTCTGGCAATACTGTGTGATGCCATTCGGGCTTAGCAATATTTGAGAGGCTGATGGGAAGAATACTGGAAGGCCTACAATGAAGGATAGCCCTAGTGTACCTGGATGATGTCATTGTGTTTGCAACAACGTTTGATGGTGAAATGTCCCAGCTAGAGGAAGTATTCAAGCATTTGAAAGCAGCAAACCTCAAACTCCATCCCAAGATATGCCACTCGTTCCAGAAAGAGGTGCTTTACTTGGGTCACGTTGTAAGTGAGCATGGTGTGTGAACTGATCCTGACAAGGTGATAGCAGTGCACGATTGGCCAACACCAGACAATGTGGGAAGAGTTAAAAAGTTTCTTGGGACTCTGTACCTCTTACCGAAAGTTTGTGAAGGACTTTGCAACTATAGCTGCTCCACTACATAAAATTTGACCATAAAAAGGCCAGAAGTTCGAATGGACAGTTTCTTGCCAGCATGCTTTCAAGACATTGAAAGAAAAATTGGCCTCAGCTCCACTTTTAAAGCTTCCAACTCACTCACTGCCGTACATACTGCATTGTGATGCTAGTAATGTCAGAATTGGGAGAGTGTTGTCTCAGAAAGTGGGTGAAAACGAACATGTGGTGGCCTACTTTCGTAGGGTTCCGAGTAGAACAGAGAGGAACTACTGTGTAACACAGAAGGAACTCCTTGCTATAGTAAAGAACCT